TAAATATAAAAGTAAGCAAAAAAGAATTTATTTGATTTTCTCCTAGTGTTTAAAAAGTCATTCATTTATTTGTCATTTATTTATTACCATATTTATTTATTTATTACTAATTCGGTCTTCGTTTTTGCTCCACTACATTGTTAATTCGACTTTTTCATTTAAAATCACACCCACACTCACACCCACACCCACACCCACACCCACACCCACACGCTGCGAGGCCTGTTTACGAGATTTTTTGATGATATCAATACTTCTTCGCATAATCGAAAGATATTTAAGCATAATAACAAAAACAACATATGATTCTGGATACGACGAAGAATTAAAAGAAAATATAAATCCAAAAATAGACCAATATGAGCCAACAGGAGATGATTTATTATTATCAACAATATCGTATTGTTGTTTTTCATCTTTTAATAAATAACATATTCGCTCACTAGAATATGATAACGAATTTGACGAAGAAGATGATGAAACATTTGTATTTGATGACGTAGTAGTAGATCAAACAGGAGAGGTGGATAAAATCTGAATATCATCAATTGACATTGAAGAAATAGATGAAGTAGAAGATGTTGATAAACGATGAATATGTTCAGTTGATATTGTTTATTTAAGTTGTTGCCTATAAAAAAAATTGTAAAAAGAAATGTGTTTTGTCTTTCAATTAAACAAAATCATTGTTTACTTTATTTTCGCTGAAATAAATCAACCATAAATATTGTCTCCTCTCCTTTATTCGTTCAATTTGTTTACTCTTGTGGTCTATACTATTCACCAATTATGAATGACGAAAGTAAAAAGTGAACAAAATCATCAACTTGTGGTGTCATCTCATGTTTCAAGATGACTACTAGAGAAATGAATATCATATCGCAGCCAGGCCACCCATTTTGGCCTGGCCTGGCCTGGCAACCAGGCCGGGCATTAGATGGACGGATCAGACCAAGCCAAAATTTTGAAATTCAGCCTGGCCAGGCGGTCTGGCCAGGCCGGCAGCTCTGATGTGTACGAAATGACAAGAAAAATAAATTCAATATTGATTGATGCAACATTATGTTTAACTCTCAGCGACACATATTGTGTCTCATAGTTACTGAAGTTATCGAGAGCCACCTGTTTGACGATCTATGAATATTGAAGTATCTCTTATGAACAGCAGTAACGAAGTCTCATCATTTATAAACTTCTAGAATCTTCAAAAGTACACAGTATGATTGTGTGTGAAACGCTTTGATTGATCTGTTATCTAAATTAGATACCATTTGTGAAATAGCACTTTCGAGAGTTCACTAAGTTGAGAATTTATAGAATCTGGACACATCTTCCAGCAAGGCCAATGAAAAATTGAGAATATGTCTGTGAGACTACAAGAATGAATGCATCATCACTCAACCTTGCTACAATAGTTTTTGATTGATACATATTAGATTCATTCAATGTATGTGTAAAATAAAAAGAATTTTTGTTCTAACATTCATAAAAACCTATCCTAATTGTATTTGTTCATTTTTGAGTTTTCGTACAATTATAACCTGTGTGACAATAACAACGAGAAAAGTCCTTCGTTATGCACACGTTCATCACTAGAACAATACTTATAATAAATTGGTATTTCGATGCAAAACGTATTAGAAAAACATCTATCTTGCTTGTATGAGAAAGTCCTCTATGTGTGGATATAGCTGATGAAGAATAAAAATTATTTCGCTTATTTTTTAAACTAAAACCGACAGTGATATTCAAGACATCAGTAAAAATCCTCAAATTGTTATGCATGCCTGATATCTTTGCAAAAGAGCAAAAAATTTGTTCCACGAATAAAAATACTGGGTGTGGGTATGACTTAGTATAATGAGAAGGCTCACAACCACACCCACATCCTCGAATGATTATTGTGTCTTTCACGATATCTTCATTGAAAGATTGATGACATTTGGAAGTGACCATCTCAATGCGAGAGCGAGGCTTTTTGCCTAAAAAGAAATAGTTTTGAAACAAAAAGGCCACCAAACAAGTCTCTATCAGATATTCTGAATATAGAAAGATTGTTCCATTAATTGTCCACATTTAGTTTCATGATAAAACTGCACATACAATGAAGCAGAAGTACTGTCTGGTGTTCTTTTTTCTAGATTTTTTTACGATGTTGATGTGTGTATTGGTTTTTTCTTCGTTGACACTCAAGAAGAAACTTCACCGTGTTTCAATTTGAAATATGGTTCTCAATAACGAATGAAAGAGCGAAAAAAAGACGCAACAACGTAATTTATTTTATGGTTATTCTTTCCAACTTTTGTTTGCTTTTCATCTACATAATGACTTAAATATGATTGCGTTTGATGCATTGCCTCACAGATTCTTTCTTTTCTTTGATCCTCTCAAAACGACCTTTTTTTTCTCTTGCTGGTAAAAACGAAAAAAAAACAGCAAAGGCATCATCAGTTCGGTTTGTTTTTACTTATTGTTATAATAAACATTGTATCCTTGTCAACTCAGCTACACCTCATTAAACAGTGCTTCAAATACAGAAAAACTATTTGCCATATACAGGGTCGGAAAGAATATTATTCAAGGGGGGTAACGATATAATTTCAAACAGGTGATATAATGAATTTTATATCAAATGAAAGCTCGTGAAAAATGGGGTTTATTGATGCTAAATAGTAAGGGTTATGTAAATCTTTTAATGTCGAAATTAAGAAACTTTCAGAAATTTTATACATTTTTGGGGGTGGAAAAGGAAGGTGCTAGTAATGCAAAAATGGAGTAAAATGTTTTCCTTGGATATTTTTACATGGTTCGATAGAGCTCGTCGAGTTCTACAAAACTGTATATACTAAAAATCTTTAAACAGGATTCTTGGGTTGAAATTCACTGAAAACTGTCTAAAGAAAGTACCCAAAAATCGGCATTTTGAACAGTTTTTATAGGAGAAAAAAGTGGTGTTTTTTACAATAAATTAAGTTGTTTTCCATTAGTACCCTTATATAATATGTTTAAAATATATTCATTCGGTGCAGTTTTTCACGCTGCATCGAATGAGTATATTTCGAAACGCCTGATGGGAGTAAAAATGATCAAAAAAGCTAATTTTATTGCAAAATCGAGTGTTTTTCCTCCATATCAAAAATATCAGTTTTTTTAACGTTTTTTAAGATTTTCAAAATAGTTTTTAAAATTTTTTATAACAAAAAAATGGCTTAAAAAATTTTTAGTATATACAGTTTTGTAGAACTCGACGAGCTCTATCGAACCATGTAAAAATATCCAAGGAAAACATTTTACTCCATTTTTGCATTACTAGCACCTTCCTTTTCCACCCCCAAAAATGTATAAAATTTCTGAAAGTTTCTTAATTTCGACATTAAAAGATTTACATAACCCTTACTATTTAGCATCAATAAACCCCATTTTTCACGAGCTTTCATTTGATATAAAATTCATTATATCACCTGTTTGAAATTATATCGTTACCCCCCTTGAATAATATTCTTTCCGACCCTGTACTTAACTCTCAGCGACATGTATTTTGTTCTATGGTTACTCGAGTAACTATGAGTTTTTCAAATTGAAGTTCGAATATAGTTGAATATTGAAGTACGTATTTTGAAATACAGAAACGAATAACATAGTTCAACAGAAGTCTTTTGTATAGATACAGGAAGCAAACAAAACGTTAGTCGTGTCATGTACTAAGCGATGCAGTGGGTATGCCGTTGAGATCAGTAAAATAAATAGATCATCACTTCTAATCTTTTAAAAGTAGTTTTTGATTTATACTATATTCATTCGAAAAAAGTGTAAAAGAAAAAGAAATTTTATTTGCTAATGGTATTCTAACTGCTAATATATCATTGTCTTCTACAATTCATAAAGAACTGATATCCTACTTTTGTTTCCTCACATTCGAAATTCATTCTATAAATGTATTTCAATGCAAAACATGTTAGACAAAAAATGAACAGTATCGCTTGTACTTTTTTTTAAAGACTGAAATCGACAGCAGTTCTGAACACATGAATGCTGTTTCTTTTATTAAAAAGAGAAAGCATCATCATTATAATGCATGTGATATGTCTTTGCACCAACATAGAAGTCTGTTTTGAGCAAAAACCTCATTAGTCGTAACGTTGATTGCATGATGCTTATGAGTTTCGTCTTAAAGTGCTTATGTGAAAACCAAGAGACACCAACAAAGAATTAAGTTAACAGCGAATGAATCAACGCAATAGAAACATACACTAATGCAGCTTATTATTGTTGTCAACGTTTTTTTCTTCTTTTGCTCTTGTCTGTACAGTGAGTAACAATGTGAAGGTAAAGTATGTAAACGAAGGACTGCTGAAGAATCGTAATATTGCATTTTCCTTCACTTTTTTCTTTTTTTTCGATGCGCAGACATCTCCTAAAGAGCTTTTTGTTACTATATTCTCGAGTTTGAATCAATAGAAATTCATTAGCATAAATTCGACTGTGTTCATCACATGATATTCATTCCATTTCTGTCCATGGCCATTAATTCACAAGTATCGTGTGTCACGAAAATCTAGAGACTAAGTATGAGAACCATCATATGAAGAAAACATCATTACAGGGTGTGGGTGTGGGATGTGGGTGGAGTGTGGATGTCATTGCTCTCTTTACTCAGACCCACACC